GCAGATCTGGAGCCTATTCACAAATTATCTGGGGAGATCTTTAACCCCCAAAATAGCTATACACCTTGCCTACCTCTGTTTCTGAATTAACATTCTTGTGACTAATAAAATGTATTAACTTAGCAAACCACCAGGTTTTACCAATCAAAAAGCGAAGAAATGTCATCAGATAGCATCTGAAACCTATAGTAGAAACCCCCTCACTTTGCTATGATCTGCCTACTGAATGTATTCACCAATGTATTTGAAAAGTGTCTTGATTTATGACTTTTCTTTGTTCTGTTACTATAAAAACATAATTTAACTGTTATCACTAAGAACATGGAACTTGGGGGTAACCTGAATCTGTGTTCCTGGGCCATGGTCATTCATATTTGGCTCCAGAATAAACTATCTCCAGAATAAACTATCTCTTATCCTCTTTGAGGTGAGAGTTATGCCTTTGAGTGGACACAGGCAGCAAGTGCTACACAGTGAGACCATATCTCAAAAAACAAAACAAATAAAAAAAAATCACATGCACACACTAATAGTAATAAAACCAAATTTTAAAGAAGTGTGGCTTTGGGGCTGGAAAGATAGTTCAGTGGTTAAGAGCACAAGCTGCTCTTGCAGAGGACCTGGGTTCAATTCCCAGCACCCACATGGTAGCTAACAACCATCTGTAACTTCAATTCCAGGGGATCCGACGCCCTCTTCTGACCTCCACAGGCATTACACGACACAGGTGCACCCACCTACATGCAAGCAATACACTCAAACATAAATAATAAATAAAAAATATTAAAAAAAGGAAGTGTGGCTTCAAAAATAAACTGAGTTTACTAGATTTAAAATGATACGTGTGTTGGTTACAAAACTAAAAAGGAATCGAGAGGGAGGAAGAAATCTTAGGAAGGTAGAAAATAGAGAGGGTAATGGAATACATGCAGTAAGAAAGCAGAAGGAGCACCAACCGGATAAAGAAAGAGAACCAGCTGGAGCGGAGGAAGCATGGGGGAGGGAAGTGGGCGAGGAGAACTGGTAGGAACAAAGTATGACACATATGTGTGAAGATGCCATGAAACTTTATGTGCTAACCTAACAAATTAAAAATATTCAAGGGGCTGGGGATGTAGCTCAGCTGGAGTGCTTGCCTAGCATTCATGAAGTCCTCTATCCCCAGTACCTCACAGACTGAATGTGATGGTACATGCCTGTAATTCTAGCAGTTGGGAGGTAGAGGCAGAAGGACCAGAAGCTAAAGGTCATCTTTGGCTCCAAAACAGGCTGGCGGCTAGCCTGGGATACATGAGACCCTGTCTACATAAAATATTAAAATAACCAGACTAAAATTTTTTGCAATTTGTCATTAACACTCTCTGTGTGCTACAATGGGAACAGCAGGAAATCAACCAAGCCCTATTCTGTCCCTAAAGAAATTAGCTATCAGAATGGATACATATAAACTTTTTAAGGTGCTGGGCTTGAACTCCAGGTACTACACATGCTAGGCAAGTGTTTTACCTACAGCTGAGTTCCCCACTTGTAAAAACAGGACATTCATGTTATTATTTACTGGGATGACTCAGGGAACAGAAATATGTGATTTTATTTATGAAGCCCGTCTAAAGCAGTAGCACCTAGATTTCCACCTAGATTGTTAAAGCTGAGAAAAAATATATTACTTTCGGAGGTTCAATTATAACTTAGATAACTTATATTCAGGGGGAAAGTCCTGTGCAAAATATGTATATTTAATGGGCTTTTAGGGAGTGTTTGATTCCCTTGCCCTTTCAAAAAAGATTAGAAAAAAGGAATGAATATATGCAAGAGAAATATATAGTTTTATTAAGGAAGTCTGGAGTGGTGGTGAGGCAGAGGCAGGTGGATCTCTATGAGATTGAGGCCAGCCTGGTCTACATAGACACTGTCTCAAGAAAACCTCCCCCAAAACCAAAATCTCAGAACCCACAAAACACACACACACACACACACACACCCCAAAACAAAACCAATAAAACAAAAGAAAAAAAAATCCCTTCAGTTCCAGGCATCGGAGAAGGACTAGATGAAAGTGAACAAGTAAAAAGACAATTTGCCAGTTTCAGAAGACTTTGTAAAGGCTACAACTTGAATATATTCCCTTAGAATATTTTTGTCTTATATGTCAAAAGTAAACACATCAATGAAATTCTAACATATTATCAACTATGTTAAGCATATCCTTCAAGGCTGAATTAAAAAAAATAAGGCATGGTGGCTCATATCTGCAGTCCTAGCACTAAGGAGGTCAAGGTCAAGCTTGGCTGGGCTAGATGAAACACTGTTTAAAACAACCAAACAGAACCAAGTTTAAGCCAGGCCCGATGACACAGGTCTGTAACTCCATCCATTTGTGAGACTTGAAGTAGGAGGATCACAGGTTAAATGGTAGCATGGGCTTCAGTGAGTTCAAGGCTAGCCTGAGTGGTGGGCAACTTAATGAAACCGTATCTCAAAATAAAAAAGTAAAGAATGGCTCAGTGGTAGGGCCATGTGTGGGGCCCTGGATTCAATATTCAGTACCACAACCACAGAAACAGTTCAAATGTAGGAAGTATTGAATATTGTGATTAAAAGCATGTGTTTGGTTGGCCCACTATACCTATAGTCCCAGCTGCTCAGGAGGTTTAGGCTGGAGGATTGCTTAAAGCCAGCCTGGGCAACATAGGGAGATCCTAACTCTGAAAACAAAGCATGTGTTTAAATTCAACCCTTGCACTACGTCCCCAGGCAGAGGGTCTTTCTACATAGTCCAGGAACTCTCGCCTCAGTTTCCTGAGTGTGTGTGTGTGTGTGTGTGTGTGTGTGTGTGTGTATCTTAAGAACTCTAGGATTTTCTAGTATTATAAGGATAGAGATAATAAAGTTGTTAGCACAGTGCCTCACAACAAATGTGCTCAATATAAACAGAAATCCAACTTCTATTTTATAGTATTACTAAGCCACATTATACTAAGCCACATTATACTAAGTTATATACAGTTATACTAAGTCACATTACAGTTATACCTGAATAAAAAAAATTAGTCTGAGCCTGGTGTGGTGGAGCATGCCTTTAGTCCTAGCACTGGGAGGCAGAGGTAGGTGGATCTCAGAGTTCAAGGTCAGCCTGGTCTACATAGTGAATTCAAGAGCCCAGCCTCACCCATACTTTACTTAAACCTTCTCTCCAACAGGCACTGGGGTACTACCAGCGAGGCTCCACCCTGATCTTATCAGAGAATCTGGCCCTTTGATCCCTAGGCCTGAAACATATACACAATGTCAAGCATACTTCTCAATTCTCTTTGCTTCCAATGAGGATGTATGAAACCATATACTTTCAGTGCTTTGATATGCTAATTCAAGCACACCCACATTCATACAGTATCTTGGCTTGAGTGCAACGTAAGGTCCTGAGGGTAAAAGGTCAGGTGCTCAAGTCAGAAGAGCACATGGCTGGGAGTTTGTTTCCATTATAAACAGGAGCTTTTTGGTACAAGGTTAAATAAAAGTCATTAGTCTAGATTCTGACTATATTGCAAGTCATTTCTACACTTTCTAATATTCACATGACTATTTTTTTGACGGTCTCACTTTGTAGCCCTGGCTGGCCTGGAACTCCTGAGTTGGCCTTAAACGCAGATTCACTTGCCTCTGCCTCCGGGGTACTGGGATTAAAGGCTTGTGTCACCAAGCCCAGACTAAGAATGCTCTCTTTGTACTTCTAAATATTAAGTTTATACTTCTGGTTGACCATTTGTCATAAAGGTTGAGATAGGGTGTCTATCTGTAGCCTAGGTGGTCTTTAAATTTATTGTAATCCTCTTGCTTCAGCCTGAGTGCAAGGATTACAAGTTCTGAGTTACACTGGGTATGGTGGAGCACGCCTTTAGTCCTGGCACTCGGGAGGCAGAGGCAGGCAGATCTCTGTGAGTTCAAGATCAGCTGGGTCTACCAGTTGGGGCTACAAGGAGACCCTGCCTGAAAAAAAAAAGAAAAAAAAAAAGACAAGTTGTGAGCTACAATACTTGGCTTGTCACAAAGCTTATCTTAAATGTGCATTCTTAGGAGCTGGAAGTGTATCTTACACAAGTTTTTGTCAGCACCTACCAAGTGCCAGTCAGGCTGGCCTTGAACTCACTGAGATCCCCTGCCTCTGCCTCCCAAATGCTGAGATTAAAGGCGTGTGCCACCACGCCTGGGTTAGAATATTCTTAAAGTTTAACAGACAGCTTTTAGAGTTTGTTTAAAATGAAGTCCTTAGCCGGGCGTGGTGGGAGGCGGATCTCTGTGAGTTCAAGGCCAGCCTGGTAGCCTGGTCTACATAGTGAGTTCCAGGACAGCTGGGGCTAGAGGGAGACCCTGTCTCAAAAAGACCAAAAAAAAAAAAAGGGGGGGGATCTCCACCACCATCTGGGAGGGCACCCATGCCAATTCCCTTTAAAAAAAAAAGAAAAAAAAATGAAGTCCTTAATGCCGAAGAATGATTTGGTAGGAATGTGAATTTTAGCAAGGTGCATTCTACCCACTCACTTGCTCATTTATGAAACACACAAACACTCACAAACACAATACACCATCCATTATTTTAAAGATAGGAAAGTAGAAAAAAAAATAGGGACATACAACCAGTCCTAATAAATAAATGTCTTCTTTGTGCTGTAGACATTCTAAAGGAGGGAAGAATAATAAGCCAATGATAAGCAGTTATATTTTTACAGTTAACTGTTATAGCTGGCACATTAGTTATTAGGTACATCAGTAGGTCCAGCTCTTAGGTAAGTTTAAGTGTCATTTGCAAGTGGATCATCACAGGACAAGTCATTCCCATTCTCTTCATGGTAATATGACATAATTGGGTGACTTACTTTGACTGACATGGAGAGACTATTTGGATGTTAACTGGTGCCCAGGTTAGCACGGCTGTGCCCTGTCCTCCAGCTCATACATGCCACAGCTAATGAAGTCATAAAACTGCATAGAAAGACCAGAGACACAATGATTGATCTTTATTATACAGAAATGTGAAGGCGATAACACTAAATGAGAGTATTTAGCAGTGAACATTATACAAATCTGAACTCAAGACTTCTTCATTTTCTGGACATATAAAAATAAAGAGTTGCAAGAAAGAACTCAGCTTCTATCCCCAATCAAGTTGAAACTTTCCGCAAGAAAACCTGGTTTCAATTCATGCCGAATTGTTCCAATGGAAGAAAAGCTATCCCAGGTACAGAGAACACATGAGCTGGATTTTGTACTTCTGGAGAGCTGGACTGAAGCTCTACTTAGCTTCTTGGAATTTGTTTCACGTTATAATTTATATCTCTAGTCATTGAGACACTTGAAATGAGAACAACAACATGAGTTGGAGGACTTCTGCAGGCCCAGGTAGGTTCAGGGAAGCAGATGAAGCTGTAACCACTTGCATCTATCAGGACTTGGTATCAGGGTGCAGTCATCTGTGTGACAGTTTCTTTCTGTACAGTGATCAACAGGGTAGATTCAATGAAGGTATAACAAATGCTTGACATTAGCACAACTCAGTGCTTGTCCTCTTCATATCCCTTAATCCTACACTTTCTATCAGCATGCTGTCAACACCAAACTGAACAAACAAATAGGATCTTTCCTGATAAAGTTTCTCTCCACTTTCACTACTGAAGTGAAAAATAAATTTTAAAGAGATTTGGCTAGAATGATGGCTGCATTGAAAGAAGACACAATTTGGAGGGTGTCTGTAGATTAAATTAAGACAGAATGGCTGCCAGAGCCCTTAGAGGGAAATTTTATCAATTTATATAGAAGATGTGGAGTTTGGTTATATTGTCTGGACTCAGGTGCTGCTATTTGGGAATTAAAATTTACAATCCCCTTAATTTAGAGTAGGAAACAGAGCAGTCATACTAAAGGATGGGAATTATTTTTGAAACAGAGAGGGTCTTATGTAGCCCAAGTTGACCCTGAACTTGCTATCATGCCTCGGCTGGTCTCGAGCTCCAGATCCTCCTACCTCTCTACTTCCCAAGTGCTAGGACAACAAGTATGTGCCACCACACTGGATTAAAAGATGGAAATTCTCTTGTTACCTCTTTCCTACAAATTCTAGTCCTGGCTATATGAAGAAGGTGGTTTAAGACATACTTTTTAAATTTAGACTTTTGTCTTAATGAATCAGGGAGCAGGAGAGTGCTAAAGAGGACTGTGGATACATTTCTGGCTCTAGAACTATGGGATTAAGGTCATCAAATTTGGGATGCCTTCTTCAGATTAGAAAAGAAAATAACATCACAGGCAGGACATGCAATCCCTGAAGCCACCTGCTCCCAAAATTAGTTTTGTTTCCACTACCCCTCATTCAAAGAGATAGGTATTTCAATAAGCTTCAACATTTAACAGAGTCTGAAGACAAAGGCTGAGAAAACATGTAAATAAGATAGAAATCAAGTAGAAAACTGAACACATGGTTTGCTCTTCATTATTCACATCCTATTGCTAGAGAACACTAAACCTCACATAGGTATTCCTGTTTATGCAAAAGCACACTGGACAAAACTAAACCCAGAAATCAGAGATGTTTATTGGGTGTGTGTGGGTTCATCTAGTTCATTCGGCTATGGAGTGAAGTATAGGGAAAAAAAAAGTCTGCTTAGAATGGTCAAGGTCTATGGAGAAGCCCTGAAATTGTTCTCCCCAAGTCATGAGTCTGATTCAAGAACTGGAAAAGAAAATGATAAAAATATCTTATCACACAAAACTCAGCGTTGGGGTCTCTGACAGTCACCAGCCAGCAGGGGAAAAGGAGAAAGCCACCTGCTGCCTTTAGGATTTATTGAAGGCTGCCAGCACAGCCCAGATCATTTCTGTGGCACTGTGCTTTATCCCCTCCACTTCAGGGTCCAGTTCTACTAGGTCCTTGGTTCGATTCATTGCAACATCATACTTGTCATCCGTCAGAGAAGAGAAGACATTCTCTAGCACATCGGAGGAGTGGGCCAGCACCAGGAGTGCTAGTGTTCGCTTGTCCATACGCTGAGGGTCATTTACCCACCGTTCTAGTACACTGTCTTGAAGTTTCTTCACTAGTCGCTGTTTCTCTGTTGTATTGGTCACTGGATGAGTGGTCATGTCAAACAGCAGGAAATTCTGCTTCTCAGTGGTTAGAATACCCTTCTCTACTAGATTCTTTGCAATTCGCTCTCGTACGTTTCGCAGCTGGTACTGTAATTTGAAGGGGTTCCATGTCTCACCTATGGGGAAAAAGAAGATATACTAAATAGATAGAGGACAACAAAATGAAAACAAGCCAGTTATTTGGAAACTTAGCTAAAATGTTTAGAGAATAATCTCCATCAGTGCAGGAATGATGTCAAACTTTCCTTAATCCATTTACTCATCTGTCCTTTATGTGCTGGTTTTTAACTCCAACCACATTTTACATTAAACCGCCTTAAAAAATATCATCGAAAACTTCCATGGTGAGGCTGGAGAGATGGCTCAGCAGTTAAGAATATTGACTGTTCTTCCAGAAGACCCGGATTCGAATCCCAGCACCCACATGGCAGCTAACAACTGTCCGTAACTCCAGTTCCAAGGGATCCGACAGCCTTTTTTTTTTTTTAATTTTATTTTATTTCCTTTTTGAGACACGGTCTCCCTGTAGCCCCAGCTGTCCTGGAACTCACTATGTAGACCAGGCTGGCCTTGAACTCACA